TAATAAAGTGTTTTTAGTGTACTATCTGTCTCTTATACACATCTAGATGTGTATAAGAGACAGGATCTAACCTCTCTTGTAACAATACGGTAATTGGAAAGGATATACCTATAGATGTCAGATTCCAAAATCTTCTTCCCAAAATTGAGGATAAGGGCTTATCTCCTAACATAGAGAGTGGTGAGGTTTGTGCACTCAAGTGCAGCCTCATACGTTGAAAAAACGGGGGCCTAAAATAATGCGCAGCACTCTTTTAATACTTTTAACTTGAACTTTAGACAAACTTCCATGCCACACAGGGCAGGAACATTCTAGGATGGGGCGGATATAGCACACATAAACGAAAATCAAGTCATCAATAGCAAAATTGGCCCTTTTAAGTATATACAAGGTATACAACCTCTTGGATGCTCGCTTAACTAGGTCACTGACGTTTATGTCCCGTTTTAGGTCCTCCTGTATAGTGACTCAAAGCAGTTTCATACATGGAACAACATTTAGTTTAGTGCCGTTAAGGTAAAAATTAGGGCGGGATATCAGTTTTCATAAAATTAATTCTCATTATGTGGCATTTAGAAGGCTTAGGGACCATAGTTATTGTGACACCACTGAGTAAGATTATCTAGGCAAGACTGGAGTTTAGGAGCATTTCCACGCATAGTCGTGTCAGCAAGAGTAAGGTCATCTACATACTTCCACCATCTGCAACTTTCCATAGATATATCATTTACAAGTAGCAGGAATAAAATCGGGCCTAGTTTGGTTCCCTGTGGAATATCACAGGTAATATCAGCATATGGGGAGAAAGAAGAATTGAATTTTGTATTTATTTTACGATTTGAAAGAAAGCTGCAGATGGTGGGGATGATAGATGACCATACTCCAATATCAATTAACTTCTTAATAATAACCGTATGGTCGACAAGGTCGAATGCCTTTGTGAAGTCAACGGCACAGATATCCACATAGGCACGACCATGCTCAATGTCACTAATGACAGAATGTAACATATCAACAAGATAATGACTTGTGGAGGAGCCCTTACGATTCTTACAGTATGTTCATTTTCAGCCTTTCGATGTTAAACATCATTAACTGACCTGTCTCTTTCTTTGCAGTGATGACATCACACTTCTAACAAACTCGGATGATGTACTCCAATTCTTAAAACTCATTGAATTGCTTACTGAATATGGACTCCGGGTTCATTTCTAAAATAACGATTGTTTAGATATTAGGCCATGCATTATTTTGTTACCACCCTCACCCCCCCTCCCCCCACATTATTATTATCATTGCATTCAACCATGTATATGTTATGTTGTGTTTATTTGCGTTTGAAACTCGAACATGCGTTATACAGACGCAGCATGCCTTTTACAATCATTTGAAGGACGCCATCTAGAACATGGTAGTACTATTCGTGATCAACGACATAACATGGTAACTCCAGGAGTTCTCATTTTTAAAGTGTTTTTAGTGTAATATAGTAGTAGGCCTATACAGAATATTGTTATGAAAGAAGATTTTCATGAAAAATCCAGATACACTACAATAATACACACATCTGCATATTGAAGAACATAAGATTAAATTTAAAAACTAGATTTGAACTCGTCACTGCGGACGAGTTAGGTGATCCGCCACACTTTGACCCTCAGGAAGTGCACGCGGTGTGGATTGAACAATTTTTAAATTCTGAAAATGGGCTAAAGTATACGCTAATTCAGTTTTTTTGAAAAAGAATTAGGAGCACATTAAAAGATTTACTCATGTGTACACGCACTTCATGACGCACGTGCGCATAATAATGTCACAAAATTTGGACTCCTGATATGAGATACACCTGTTTGTATCAACTCTCATTGACAAACGCCTGTTGGTGAGGGACTTCTTATCATTTATAATAATTTATCATATAAAAATTAAGTTTTTTTAATTCAGATGTCAATATGATGACATCACAATGTCCGATCAGCAAATGATCTATAAAATCGTATCTACAACTCGTGCTTTCAGAATATGTAATAAAAATTGGGGGTCACCTTTCATCCTAAGGAGCTATAACTGATTAAAAATATTCATAATTTTAAGCATATATACATTTTGACGCGCACGTTATGACGTGCGCACAAAAACTTAAGGTACATTGCATTCAACCTTAGCCTGAAGTTTATGC